GGTAGAGAAAACCTTCCTTCAAGATTTTCTTTCTGTCTTTCTGTATTATTTTATGACTACAATGATCCTTCCCTAGCCATTTTCAAATATCTGCTCACCTTTTGATTTAGGCTACACATTGAGTTCTTAACCTGTCGCCAGTGTTCGTGGCACACACTGAAGCTGGTCAGTGTGAGAGCATTGAAACGTTGCTGGCCTGGACATAAGGACCACAGACAGGTTCACATCATGAATTCTGACAGCTCTGTGACTTTGAGCAGTTACATAATCTCTTTATTTTTTTCCCCCTGAGGTATAGTGACAGTACTTGTCCTATGGGGTGGTAGGTGGTAAGGATTGAGGTCATAGCTGTAAGGCACTTATTCCAGTGCCTACTACATAGAAAGCATTTATCACTTAGTTCCAGAGATCCTCTTTTCTCAGATATTGTTGGCCCTTGCAGCCTTCTACTTTGTGTTTCTAGAAGAGAAAGTGCTGATATAAGCCAGAAAGGGTCTTCAATTTCCACTGCCAACAAAAGGATAGGTAAATGGGATAGGCTGATAGAGGTGGACCTGGGGCTGTGGCGGAAAGTAGATCAAACTGCTTCTTGAGGTTAATCAGCTGTCACTCGAAAGAGGGTAACTGACTAAGGACAGGAGAGAGTCACGTTGCTTATGTGGCGGGGTGAGGTCAGAGCCTCTGGTGTGTGAGGATTCAGTTAAAGGAGGTGAAAAGGAGATGCTTGTGAAAAAACCTTAATTAATACTAAAGAGAATAAGAGGAAGTCAGGGTGGCAGTACAGTGTAAGTCCTTAAGAGCATATCTGGATTTGAATTTGAGCCCTGTCTCTTCCACTTACTAGCCCTTTAACCTTGAGCTAGTGAACTTAATCTGTTCAAGATTTACTTGCTTAATTTATAAGAGGGGGACAAATGTTATCTCCATCATAGAGTTATGAGGTAGTTTTAAATACTTGATAAATTTTTAACACTAAATATCGATATTTAATATCAAGCCAGGGGAAGAAAAAGCAGGGCTTTATGAGAAGGGGTAGGCTACTCCTCTGTACAACTGATATCTATTATTGGTTATCTTTTAATGAAAAGGAGTCAATAATAGGATGTATTATTTATAGGTGTTTTAATCCTGCCTGGTATGTTTGCTCATTGAAAGTAAGTTTTAAAAGTTGTTTTCCTTTTTCTTTATATTGGGAAACAAAGCTTATGAAAAAGATTTAACGGGTAAGTTGCCATTTATAATGTTTGTGGTTGAGCAATAAACTGTGGCCTAGTTTTCTCTATGCATGATTTCCATTGAATTTCCCTGCAGTTTTTTCAGTTTTTCTGTCCTTTTTGTCTTCTTACTTGGCTTCCTGTTTATCAGTTATTTCAGCATCATTTACTACTTGTAAAATAAAAAAGATGGATGGTATGCAGCAAATATAAATTGATGCAGCATGAATAGAATTAATTTTGATGAGAAAGTAAGTGTCTTAGAGGGCTGAAATTTGTTCAGTTAAGGAGCCTGTGCAAATTTGGTCATGCTTTCACATGTCATATTTGAACATCAGTGAACACTGTTAGGTTAGCATCCATGAACTTCTAGTTATTTAAGTCTGTGTTCCAGTACTGTGATGTAGCATAAGAGAAGTCTTTTTGTGTTCTTCTTCCTGTTGTATATGTAGTACCATAGTTGTTCATTGTCATTTAGTACTGAAAACAACTGTGTGAATTAACCAATCCTTAGAAACTTGTTCAGTGACATGACAATAATAGGGAAAGCCATAATTTGAAAATCAGACTTTGACTTCAAAGGTTGTACTTGTTTTTTTTTCGTTTTTTTTTTTTTTTTTTTGAGACAGGGTTTCGCTACACAGTTCAGGCTAGTTTGAACTGTCTTTGTAATCCAGGCTGGCCTCGAACTTGCAGTGATCCTCCTGCCTCAACCTCCCGAGTGCTCAGATTACAGGCATGCACCACCATACCCAGCAAAGGTTGTGTTTTTAAAAACTAGGTTACAACCTGCTTCTCTTAACTGAGATAAAAAAAAAAACTGCAAAGCTAACCCTCTGCAAATGACGAGGGTCATTTCTTTATTGCCTGCTGCTATCTTAGTTGCTGCCTTCATTTTATTGCCCAAGTTTACTGAACAGAATTGTGTGTGAAGACTTAAGTTGAAGAATCACTCATCTAGTGGCTCTCAGCCAATCATAGGAATCACTTGGGACACTTTTTTTAAAAATTATGGTTCATTGGCTTTGAGCTGGAGCCTAAGAACTTGTGTTTTAACCAGTGCTGTGTGTGATTTTTGAGAATCTGACTGGTTTGAAGACCATTTCACTTTAGATACATGAGCCTCCCAACACCTTCTTCATTTTCCCTGGCAGGTGATGATATCCTCTTGTGACAGGAGGGTCATTTCATCCTTAGTTAAATGCAATGCTGTGGTTCTGTAGATGTTTTTTGCTTACTATTCCATATGGATTGGGTCAATTTACTGGACAGATTTTTTTGTTTGTTTGTTTGTTTGTTTTTTGAGAAAGGGCCTTGCTATATAGTTCAGGCTGGCTTCAAACTCTCAGCAGTCCTGCCACAGCCTCTTGAGTGCTGGGATGGTGTGTGCCACTATGTCCTGCCTGAACAGGTTTTTTTTTAATCCTCCTTAGGAATTGCTTTGAGCTTAGATCTGGGTTTCAGTGTTCTCTAAACCTTAATCCTCATGTATAAAATGGGTATGTTGTCATCTACTGTTAAAGATTATATAAAGCACTAAATGAAAAACTGTCGTGGCTGGAAAGACTTTTTTTTCAGTATCAGAGATCATTGATCTATATCCACAGCTTCTTAAAAATTTTGAGACAGGGCCTTGCTCAGTTGCCCAGAGCTTCCAATTTGCAGTCTTCCTGCCTAGCCTCCTGAGCAGCTGGGAATACAGGTGTGTGCCACCACACCCAGCTGGAAACATTCTTGAGTGCCATCAATTATCCTTTTTCTGTTAATAATTCCCTGCCTTGTCAGACTGTTTTGGAGAGTTCTCATGTCTACAGGGCTGTAGGCTGAAGTGCAGATATGATAGAAGTGCCTGGATACTCATTCTATGATTGTCAATGCCAGAAATAGGTGGTTTTGTCTCATCAGCATACTTCCTTCTGGCTTTTTTCTATGGACAAAGAATATGATACTTCTCTGGGGACAGATAAACCTGCATTTCTGGAAATTCAGCTTTACTTCTTAAGTAATTAAAGTTTCCATTGATACAGTGAATCCAAAGCCAAACAAATGATCTTCAGAAAGCCCTTAAAAGTAAAAGAAGAGACCTTGAATTATATAGAAACCAAAATGGAAAACCAAAGAAAGTATTCCATGTCTCTTTCCTATCTAAGGGTTGAGACAGGTAACTAATTAGTGCTATCCATTGGAGAGGGTAGGTGATCGTGTGCACGACTGAATAAACTGCAGGATGCTGAACATTCTCTCATCTCTATAGACAGTTTCGCTGTTGATGTGTTTGTCTTACCTGTCCTCAGCAAAGCAAACGAGGTCTATTCTAAGAATGAACTTAGACTATGAGCTGTACTCCTCTTTAGTTTTGAACTACTTAAGAGTATGTAGGTGAAGATTCTATGGGTTTGAGAAAAATATGATGAAAGTATTTTTTCACTTTGTTTGCACTAGTTCTCTTTTCAATTTTTAAAAAATCTAACATGAAAAATGCTACTTTGAGTTTTTTTATGTGAATGCTTTTCAAAAGGTAATTTTGGCGCTTTGAGCACTTTTACATTTTAAAAGTATCTAGTGTATGCAACTTATTGTCATAAATAGTAAAGATATTCATTACAATTGCATTGGAATTGTAATCATTTTTATTTTTCAGGAAAGTGATTGTGGGTTGAGTTCTTAATTGTGGTCCTCCTTTGGCAGGGGAGATGTCTTTGTAGTTGATAGCAGAAGCAGAGAGTAAAATAAAAGGTGAAGCCAATTCACTTTTTTAATAATTTTATTTATTTATTTATTTAATTTATTTTTTTGGTACTGGAAATTTAACTCAGGATCTTGAGCTTGCCAAGCAGGCGCTTGTGCCACTGAGCTATATCCCTGGCCTTTTGTTTTTTTTTTTTTTAAAGCAAGGTTCTATTTTATTTTCATTCTTTACTCTTTTTTTTTTTTTTCAGTACCAGGAATCGAACTCACAACCTCACGCTTGCCGGGCAGGCACTGTGCTGCCCAGCCCAAATATAATTTTTTTTTTTTTTTTTTTTTCTGGTACCGGGAATTGAACTCACGACCTTGCGCTTGCCAGGCAGGTGCTGTGCCGCGGAGCTAAATGCGCAGCCCCTCACTTTTTCAAAAAATTATTTTTATTAGTGTACATTGCAGTATGTAATGACTTGTTACCCTGAAGAAAAGACTTTATCAGAAAATAATCAGCCTTGAAAACTAGAAATCAAAACTGCCAGCCCAATCAGCCTATACTTATCTTACCTGTCAGCACTGTTCTCTTGCTGTCAGTGGCTACTCAGTAAGGCAGGTTTTTTTTTTTTTTTTTTTTTTTTTTTTGAGCCAAGGTCTTGCTATTGAACTTGCAGCAATCCTCCTGCCTCAGCCTCACAAATGCTGAGATTCCAAAGGCAATTCACTTGATTTCTCCTTTTAAATTCAGGGTAGATGTTGACGTTGCATTCAAAATTACAGGTAGTTCTTTTTATAGGTTATAGGACTTGTTGGGGAACCTATCGTATTTTAAATACCTTCTTAGTTTATTTGAGAGAAAGTCAGTCTGAAGAAGGGGGATATTTATATTATAGAATATCAGGGGAGAGGAGGTAATTTAATTCATTATGATGGGAATGTATATTAAACAGAATGGTGCTGTCATTCTTGATAAAAAGAATGACTGTACTATTTATTAGAAGTGTCTAAATTTCATTCATGTCATCAGTCCATAGCAGAAAGCAAATGATATGGTATAAATTTTAGGAAATAATTTTATGTATTGTGTTGTTCTTGTTTTATTTTTAGGACCGGAGTAGGCCCTATGACACTTTTAACTTGCACTCCTTGGAGAACTCCTTAATGGATATGATAAGGACTGATCATGAGCCTCTGAAAGGTAAACACTACCCTCCCAGTGGCCCACCAATGAGTTTCGCTGATATAATGTGGAGGAATCATTTTGCAGGTTAGGAATATTCATATGTCCATTCCTTGCTTGGTGTCTTAAGCAAAAATCAGCTTTTTAATATGTGATTTGCTTTTGTTTTTGTTTGTTTTTGTTTTGCTTCTGTAAAGCATTGTGGAATGTATCTAAAGTTGATTTTCTTTTTTTTTTTTTTAACCTGGGTTCAGCTACCTTCAGTAATCAAGGTTGATTGCTTTAATCAGTAATCTCTGGAAGAAGCATGTGTTATAACTGCTCATTATTCTAACCTGAGACCAGAAGCCAAATTTTCTGGGCTTTGTGTGTTTGAAATCCTTAGCTGAATCTAGATAATTCTTTTAAATACAGGTATACTGCAAGAAAGTGTGAAATTTAGCAAATCAACTTCCAAAGATTATAGAAAACTTCATGTAAGGGGCTGGGGATTTAGCTCAGCGGCACAGCGCCTGCCTGGCAAGCGCGAGGTTGTGAGTTCGATTCCCAGTACCAGAAAAAAAACAAAAAAAAACAACAACAAAAAGAAAACTTCATGTAAAAAGGTTTCATTTTATTAAGCTATAATCACTTTACTAATATAGGAAGTATCATAACACAGACTTAAAAGTAGCCAATGACCCTGTGCATAGTGTAAGACTAAAATATAAGCAAAGTGTCTAAAAGTATATGAATATTTTGAGTTAAATATAAGACAAAAAAATCCTAGATCATCAATACTGTAGCTTCCTATTTTTAGAGTCTATATAAATTCAGGATAGATGTTGATGTTGTATTTACAATTACAGGTCATTCTTTTTATAGGTTATAGGACTTGTTGGGGACCCTATGGTATTTTAAATGCTGTAATGCAAATTAGCTGTTAAAATTCACTTGGGTTAGGACATAACTACCTGAAAACTGAATCGTTTGCCATGGGAATACTAACCTTGTGTGGACTGTGTGTCTTCTGGAATTGTGAGGTGTCTGATACCCCACTGCAGCCCAAGGCCATGTGTAGGGTCTCTGACAGTGCCGGTGAGCATCTGACGCTCACTTCCTTAAAGCACACTAGAAACCTATCTCATCGTTTTCTTGTCAGACTTATGATTTTCTGTTGCTTTTCTAATTTGCTAGTAAAAAGTAGTTGTAGGTTATGAGGAAAATATAGCATTTTGATAAAAACTAGATTTTAAGGCCTTTAGAAGCAGAGAAAAAAATTATTTATTCCTTGTTATGTTTGTCATGTTTCCTCAGTTACAGATTGGGTATGTGGTAATTTAAGGCATATTTCACTTAGAAGTGAGAATAATGTTTAAAACAAGCAACAATATTCACAGACTGTTTTGTGTTTTCAGAAATTTCTTTTTTTTTTTTTTTGTTTTTTGTTTTTTGTTTTGGTTTTTTCTCCGGTACCAGGAACCGAACTCACGACCTTGCGCTTGCCAGGCAGGTGCTTTGCCACTGAGCTAAATCCCCAGCCCCTGTTTTCAGAATTTTCTAAGACTTCATTTGTCTTCCTTTGCTACCATGAATAGCTATAATATAAGCTTTTCCTAATTATTCTAAAGTATTCAACTATTATGCATACCTATTTTATCTTCATTTATATTCTTTTCTTCTTGCAGCAAAAGATTATGAAAGGATCTTACATGATAGTATATAAAATAATTTTCTAGAATTTTGTGTATATTGGTTAAACTATTGTCCCCTCTTGAGTGTACCTCTGTGCAGAGTGAGGATGGTACCTCACCATAGGGTAATGTAGATACCTTATTTCAATGATGACCTTTTTTTAGTGCAAGTCCCTCTGCCTCTGCATGGATTTTTTTTTTGGCTAGCAAATAGGAAGTTTCATTTATAAAATCTCTGCACTATACTTGTATCTTTTTTTTTTTTTTGAGTATGTATGTGGTACTGGGGTTTTAACCACGGCTTTTGCCTTGAGCCACATCCTCAACACACCCTGCCCCCTTTCTAATTTTTAATTTTGAGACAAGGTTTTGCTAAGTTGTCCAGGCTGGGCTCAAGCTGTTGATCCTCCTGCCACAGACTCCCAGACTTCTGGGATTATAGGTGTGCACTGTCATACCCAGTTGGTGTCTTAAGTTTAAGGCACTCAGTTTGTACTTTTTAAAAAGCCCCCATGTAGTTGCAATTTCCCAGTTTATCATATGACCCACAATGATTTCCTATAAATAGATCACTGTGGTCAAACATGCCACTGTGTCACTGTAACTTGGTTAGGGTGTTTGAGGTTCCTGCGTCCCTTTTGTAACTGGGAGACTTTTAGATGTGGTATATAGCACCATGTGTACGATTCTTACTCTTTTGTGTGTGTGTGCTGAGGATTGAGCATAGGGACTGACACATGCTAGGCAAGCACTCTACCACTGAGCTGTATCGCCACCCCTGATCCTTATTACTTCTACAAACAAAATAATGATACTTTCTTTGGCTTTAAAGAAAAATATTAAGTAATTTTTAGCTTTGAAAAGTGAAAATTGCTGGATGTGGTGCCACACGTATGTAATGCCAGCACTTGGCAGACTGAGGCAGGAAGATCACTGTGAGTTTCAGGTCAGCCTAAGTTATATAGTGAGCTCAAGGCCACTCTGCACCATGTTGTGAGACCCTGTCTCAAAAACAAAAACAAAACAAAGCGAAAAGTGAAAATTGTTAGAACAAAATGGTGACTAACTATAAAAAGAACACTATGATGGTATATCCTTTATTTTTCAATTTCTCATTTGATAAATATTATCAATTTTTCTCTCTGAATGTTTGTTTGCTTTTTGAGACAGAGTATATACTGAGTAGTTTAGACTGGCCTTGAACTTGTTCTGTAGACCAAAGTGGCCTCAAACTTGGAATCCTCTTGCTTCTGCTTCCTAACTGTTGGGATTACAGGCATGTACCACCATGCCCAACTAGTTCTGCCTGGTCTTTATAATTTATTGATAGGACTTAAATTTGGCCTTTTAGGCTGTTCAGTTTTTTTCTTTGTTACAGGTAATGCTGCCATGCATGAGTCCTGACAAGTAGCTTTTCCCTATGGCAAATTCATAGTAAGGATCTTTGGGTCAAAACATGTAAACATCTAGGTAGATCAAGAGGCAGATAGTAGGCTGTTTCTTTTTTCCTTTTTCTTTCTTTTTTTTTTTTTTAAACAGGGTCTCACTATATAGTTCAGGCTGGCCTTGAACTATGTAGCCTAGGCTGGCCTCGAACTCACAATAGACCTTCTCACTCAGCCTCTCAAGTGCTGGGATTACAGGCATGTACCACCACACCCAACTTTTGTATATTCCTTTGTGTTGATGTTTTTATATTTTTTCTTAGAGCTCAATTTTTTTCATAAAAAAGCATATTGTTTCTTTTGATACTGGGCATTGAACTCGTGACCTCAGGCTTGCTAGGCAGGTGCTGTGCCACTGAGCTAAATCCCTGGCCCCAGCATATTCTTTCTTATTACAAGAATTTTAAATAATATGTAAAAGCACAAATAGGAAAGTTGAAAATCTACTTGAGACTCATTAACTAGAGATATTAGAGGTTATTATTTTTATTGCCATTCTTTCAGATATCTTATATTTTCAATGCAGATGAGATTTCAACTCAGCCTTTCTGACTTTCTCTCTCTCTTTCTCTCTTTCTCTCTCTCTCTCTTTCTGGTTTTTTTTTTTTTTTTTTTTTGAGACAAGATCTCACTATGTAGTTTAAAATGGTCTCAGCCTTCCAAATGCTGGGATTATAGGTGTATACCACCATGCCCAGTTTGGAAACTCATTCTTTCTGTCTTTCTGTTTGTCTGTCTGTCTATCTATCTATCTATCTATTTATCTATCTATTATCTATCTATCTATCTATCTATCTATCTATCTATCTTTGATACAGGTTCTCACTGTAGTTCAGGCAGGCCTTAAACTCACTGTGGAGCCTATCTGACCTCAAATTTGTGGTGATCCTTCTGCTTCGGTCTCATGAGTGCTGAGATTACAGGCATGTATCTCCATGCCCAGCAGAGTTTGGAAATTTTAAAGCATATCCTTTTATAGGATTAAAAAAATGCAGAAGTTGAATTGAGTTTTCTTTACAGCACACTGAAGAATACCTTCTGCAGGATAGGGATGTAGCTCTGTGGTAGAACCCTTGCCTAATATACCCGGGCCCTAGGTTGTATCCCCAGTATCACATAAACAAAAAAAGAATGCCTTTTCAACATTAATCAGACACAGAACCTTTATTTAAATAAAAATAGGCAAGACATGGTGGCACAGGTCTGTAATCCCTGCACTCTGGAGACTGAGGCAGGAGGATGCTGTGAGTTCAAGGCCAGCCTGAACTACATAGCAAGACCCTATCTCAAAAAATCAAAACCAAAACAATAATGGACTCCCCCCTGTAACGATCTCAAGCTACAGTTCTTAGTTATAACAGAATAACATAATTTCCTCTTGCCTCTTACCTTATCTTATGTGTACATTCCTTCTGTTTGAGAAAATGCCTCAAAGGAATGAGGAAGAGGATGGTTTGGAGGAGGAGGATGAAGTTACAAAAATTGTTTTTATTTCTTTTCTAATTATAAAAACCCTTGGGTTAACAGAGATGGAAGTAAGGTCTGGGCAAGAGAAACTCATCTCTTCTTATTTCTAGTGGGCTGAAGATAAACCCAATTTTGGAGAGTAAGAGGATCTTTGGTTTTGGATAGAAAGGATAAGAGATAAGGAAAAAATAACATCTGTATGCCCTTCTTATAGCTGTCCTCGGACTTGAAATCCCATGGTCATTAGGTTTGACTAATCGTATGCTCTTCCTCTAGAATCCGTGCACAAGGCAGAGTAAGTGGTAATGGGAAGCAAGATCCCATCCTTTGGCTGGGGAAGGAAAATATGGCAGTTGTGGAGGCAAACAGGGAGGGTTCCCTTTACCTTCACCCTGTGCAGTCTCCCTCTTAGAGCGGAGTAGGTCTGGCTATT